CCTCAATCGACAGCAGAAAGCCTGCACCCCACAGCCACAGCGCGGGGCTGGGGCGGGGAAAGTCGTCTCCTTCAGGGCCGTTCCCGCCCCCGCTCCGCTTCACGCTTCCCCCCGCAGCAGCGAGCCGTTGGTAGAGGTCAATGTCTCATTTTAATCCATTGAAAGTACAGTGAATGCAGACAGCAGCAACACACCTCCAGAATGCACGTACAACACGAACAGGAACCTAGACTATGCCCCCTCAGCTGGGGGCTGTAAGGCACTGATGTGCTAAAAAGTTATTTTTTTAATACAACAGTACAAACTCACCGTCGCCCCATGAGCAATATTCAGTGCTTTTTCTTTCAAACTCGTACTTGGGTGCCCAGCGCTGCTGACAATCCCCAGGCCGGGCCCAGCGCCGTGCCGCGCCCCAGAGCAGCAATGGAGCCTGCAAGGCCCGGCAGGAGAGAGACCCGTCCCCAACCACAGCCACGCCGCCGCTTCCTCCAGCAGCTCCTACCAACCTGCCTGGACAGCACTGGGTGGCGAGGCAAAGGTGCCGCAGCGCTTACGAGCAGGCAATTGTGGAGCCATTAAGGGAATGTACAGGCAGGGAGAAACGGCCCTCCAACAGCGCTGTGGGCCCACACGGGGATATGCAGCCCTAGAGAGAAGATGCCCACCAGCAGTTTCAGGCATGACTACCAACAGGTCCAGCTGTGTTGTTTCTTCCTGCTTATGAACTTTCTAAACCTGTAGAAATGTCTCATTTCTATTGCATGTACCCAGAACGTGGCATCAGGCTACAGGCTGTTGTCTGTAACTGGAAGATGTGTTATCTGAGGATGCAAGCACAGTATTGCTGCTTTTGGTAAGTGAAATATTGGATATTAGATATTAAGTGTTAAGACAGATGCATTTCAGTGATGTGGGAGAAGAGGAAGGAGCAGCAAAAGAGAGGGAAGTGCACAGGGAGATCAGAAAGATTACTGGAGGCAGGAAGAGAGAAACAGCTGCTTCCAGAAACACTTGAGCACAAAGCTGGCTCTAGTAAGAGCAATGGCATGTAACATGCCTCCTCTGAGAAAGCCAAGGCACATTTTCATCCCAATTCTCAGCTTGGATGAGTTACCTTCCACTTAAATTCACATTCAAAGCAGACGCGGCCTTAACCCCATCATTCTTCCACAGCTTGTAATCCCATACTACACACCACAGGAGACCAAGAGACCAAGGTTAGAGAAGGGTGTTAAAAGGAAACAGCTCTCATGCTCTTGCCTGTTATCATCCTCCAAGAAACCAGGTAGCTTATTCTCTGATGTCCTTTGTTCTCATTCAGAGCCATTTAATAAAACAAACTTGAAACACCACTATCTTCATCTGTAAAGCAACCTAACTCCCATCACAGCTTATTGGATGTTTCAGATGGCTTGCCCGTGAGGTGTTTGTGGAAGAAGGCTCGGATCTGCTGCCAAGCATCTATCTGTGCCAAGCAGTGCGCCTTGGGCTCTCCTCCCCACATCACAGGCTTGCCAACTAGCAGGTGCATTGAGGCTGCACACATGGGGAAAAAGGGGGGTTCAATGTAGTGCCCTGCTCCAGGATAACTGACTATCTCAGGCTTTGCCTTCCCATGAGCTTGCAAACGTTTGCTCCCTTCAACTGCAAAGAATTCGCTTTTCCAGTTGTGATCGTCCTGGCCAACAATGAACAAGAAGCGACACTCGGCCTTCTCCAAAGGGATGAAGCTTTGGCGGTCTGGCCCTTCTAACGGGTTATTCAGAATATCAATAATATCAGCAATCCCAGACTTGTTGACCTTGATGCGTTCAGTATGGATACCGAGGGGTGGAATGGTGACGTCTTTGTAGCGGAGCACTGCACCCACATTTGCCACCGAGCCGTTGATAAGAGCAGTGGCTGTGATGCCTTTTAGGAAAGAGGCCATGGAGACGCACAGGTCACCCCCCTTCGAGATTCCAAGCAACCCAATCCCTGGACCTTTAACCTGGAGAAGAGAAACCACAAGCAATGAACCACAGCCCGCCACTTCTTTAAAATGCTGCCATGTTCGCAGCAGTGTCTGTCCTGAATCTGGACCCCAGGTATAGGCATCTACAGTCCTCTGTGCAGGGCCCGCATCTGAGGGACCATGGGCCATTGCTCTGTGCTTGATTTATGGTCATAAGCCCTGCTGAGACTGCAGCATCATCCTAACAAAACTACGAGGCTCAGTGCTAAAGGGCACAGCAGAGGATACAGCTGTGCTTGCAGAAAGCATGCAGATGCGCAGCCCCAGATTCACTTTGCTTAAAAGGCAGTTCAGGGAAGAAGAGGAAAGGGGTAGGAGAGGCCTCTTCTACAAATGCTTGCTTTCAATGTGGAAAGCTCAAAGCCAGCAATGAGTATGATACTGTCACTAGCAATGGTAATGTATTTCTTATATTCAACCACTGCTTTTGATTCTCCTTTTAAGAATCTAACATGGGGTAGCAGACTCTGCATCAGCCACTCTCTCATCCCTCTAGTATGCTTGGTGTCTAACTCACAGTGAAAAGGAAGTATTCCGAGACAGCTTACTCATTAAAATACATCTTAAAAACTTAACCTATTAAAAGCATTTTTCTTAACTAATTGTACAGCCCTCTGAGTCAAACTAGAACAGGATACCTTAATTTTCTTTTAGGGAGGCAAATTAACTAGAATAGAAAAGCTAAATGATCTTACAGGGTGCTGAAATCCTCTAAGAACACTGGAAGAAGATTAGCTAATATCACAAGTGCTCCAATATCCAAAGACCCTCAGGGGTAAAAAGGCTCTGAGACAGCATCAAAATGTAATAACTTTTGCACCTTATCACCAGTGTAATAGACTTCAAACCCACCGAGTTTGAAGTATGGAAAGAGGGAAATTAGAAAACATGGCTGCAACTTTGCAATATGTTAAAAACATAGTAGGACTATCAGTGGAGGCATTAAAAGGCGGCTATGGTACTGCTCTTAGGGGAAAAAAGGAGGGTGAGAAACAATTTTGAGAAGTTTTTGGGCAGAAAGGTGGCATGAGCAGTTAGGGCGACTGAAAAGCAGCCAAGACTTTTAACAACGACTTACCCTTCTGAGGTTGAGGAAGGTATTTGAGTTCTCCAGAGAGACCAAGTGTTGCCCTGTGCAATTCTAGTTACTGTCACGCACAGCTACTTGGAAGCAGAAGCAGAACTGAGCAGGGCTGTCTTCCAAGAGGTGCCGACTTAGACCAAGTCCTCAACCAGCTACTAAAAACCACACTCACCAAATACCTTGCAATGACTTTAACAGCTTACACAATACACAGTAACAAACGTGTACTGATGCATTTCCTTGAGACCTGGATCACAGAAGCTTATCATGTGCTTCCTGACTGAAAAGAGCATTTAGCATTTAGACATTCTACTGAAAATAAACGCCCCAAAGGCCCGCTGGAAGTCCAATAAACCTCCAGGCAATTAGTACCCTAGTTATGACACTGGGATAAATGGAGCAGAAATTACGAGTATGTGACCCACCTCACTGCGTCACCCGGCCAGTTCAAAAGGAAGAATTGGAATAATCTCCCAGAAATCCACTGTAATGGGAGTTAAAGATATGAAACAAATTAATGACAGCCAACTTGGACAGAGGTGCTATTCTAAGTACGGCAGCCCTGCTCCATCTGCAGTCTAATGAGAGTTCTCTGTAGTGAGAGAGTGTCAGTGAACAAACCAACCTGGGTGTGCTGTAACATATAGTTGATGGCTTCTTCAAAATATTCCAGGTGGAATTCTTCCATCCTTTTAGGGAGATCTTCATAGCCGTAGTAAGCCAGAGCCAGCACAGCAAAGCCATAGTTGGCCAGCAGGCATGCCCTGTATTCAGGGAGCCCTCCTCCAGTTCCATACAAGTCAATAATTCCTGGAAAGGGGCCATTTCCTGGAAGAGACCACATAACAGGACACATGAACCCACAGTTTTTAATTTATATTCCATCTTCATATGCTTGGGATTTTGTTTTTTTAAAAAAGAGAAAAACACAGAGCAGCAGAATGGCACTAAGGGTCCTAAATTACTGTGCCAGTTTTCAGTAAATGGCTACATTCCTTCAAGATAAAACAAGACAGCCCAAAATAGCAGGCCTACTAATGTTTTGGATAACACCAGAGAACACATGGCTCAAAGGGAAGGGATCTCTTGACAACTAGTTCTTTACATCACGTGAACTCACTGCAAAGGTATCGAGCTCTGCTTCAAAAATACCCGGGGGACTTCGCCCCAGTGCATTCCTCAGAAGAGGTGATCAAAGAAAATCTCATCTTCCGATGGTTCCAGCTTCTCAGTTGCAGTGTGAATGTACGATAGCCATTTATACTGGGACAAAGAGAAGAAAATATTTGTAACCTCGCTAAGCTGGTGAGGGAAGCTTTACATTAGGTTCTTCAGGGGACAGAGACTGAAGTCCAGAGCTGAGAGGGACTGCTGCAAACTGGTAACAAATTATGGAAAGCAGGAGGGTAAGAGGGAGTCTCCCATCCCTGCTCAGAAGGAATGGTGAGGCTTCCATCAGGTGCCTGCAGACTAACATGCAAAATTTGGGCAACAAACAACAACTGGAAATTCACCTCCAGCCACAGGGCTACAACACAGAGTTGAGGGGACATTGGCTGAGACAGCACATACAATTTTGAGTTACCAGAGTCAGGCAGGGAAGAAGGGGGAGAGGGGAAAGCACGTGCCACATAAAGGAGCTCCTTGAGTATGTGGAGTTCTGGAGACCTGCTTTGTGAAAGCCTCTGGGTCACAAGGGGAAGGAAAGGTGGGATGTGGTGGTGGTGGGGCTGCTACAAACCACCCAACCAAGACGAGGCAAGAGATGAGGCTTCCTACAGACCACTGGGAGAAGTCTGGACAGCTGCTGGGAGGAAAATACAGCATTTGTAAAACAATCTGGAAACGTCACAGACCTTCTCGATCATTTTCTGACAAAAATACTGTACAGGCAAACCTGTCTAATGTTTTAATTCATCTTCCACTCAAAAACAGAAAATGGGGGCAAACGTGGCAGCAAAAGGCAGCTTGGGCTGCAGCAACTATTAAATGACTGAGTTGAGGATATGGGAAAAGGCTGGGAAGGGAAGCAGCAGGTTTAGAACTCGGTATTTGGAGAGAAACCATCAACTTACTCAGAGAATTACTAACTGAATCCCTGGGAAAACAGACAGGTAGAGGAAAGGTACTTTGCAGGTTGGCTGACACCACCTCCCACGGCATTGGGAAACAAGAAAGGTACTGTGATCTATGTCTTCATGTCAAATACAAGTTAATGAAACAAACTCATGTTTGTTTTCACACACATAACTGCACTATGTGAAGAGTGTGGCCAGCAGATCAAAGCCAGTTGGGCTGATCAGGCCACCCCTCGAAGAATGTCCAGTGCCAGCTGGCGAGGACCAGCTACCCCTTGTCCTTCACCTGGTACCGGGCTTAAGCTGGGTCTGGAAGGGATCTGGCTCCAAAGCTTGGAGCACAGGGACGAGCAGAAGCAGCCCCCGGGGGTAAGTGAAGGAGCCTGGCATGGCCAGTACTCACCAGGAGGCAGGAAAAGCGTGGCCCGGATCTTCCCCTCTCGCACCGGGACTCTCCGTACCCCATCCCGCAGGAACGACCGCTCGTGTTGCGCCTGGGCCAGGAGCTGCCCAGGAGGCTCCCCATGGCCCTCAAACACCTCCAGCTGCAGGAGGAAGGGGCTCTGCACGTCTCGCTTCACCAGCCGCCAGAAAGGCTTCTGGGGCTGCAGAGCCCAGAGCAGCCCCATGGGCTCCAGGCCGGAGAAGCTGCCTCCCGGCAGTGCAGGACAGCGGGCGAGGTCCAGTTCTCCGTCGTCCCCCGCTTGGTAGAGGGCGCAGGCCTGGAAGAGCTCGCCCGTCTCGTCCCGCAAGGACGTCCGCAGAGTGACCTGCTGCCGCGGGCCGA